TGTTTGTTTTTGAGGTCATGGTCTCCATGCAAACGAGTTTTGTTGGTTCCTGGTTTCTTGTACCAGGAGGGCTGCTGATGATAGGATCTTTGCACAGTTCAAGCCAGAACATTGGCCCTGGGAGTCAGGTGACCCCAGAGAGCCTATCTTGTGCCACTGCCTGCTAGAAAACTTCCAGAGCTGAGGCTATCCTTCAGTCAAGACAGTTCATAGCTGATGAGACCTACCGGTTTTACTTCTCTGAACCATCAGGTCAGTTGAGCACATGCCTTTCTGCCTGAGAGCATTAGAAATATGAACCTTTGTATCCTGTCTCCCGTGAAACTCGTGGATCTTTTTCAATAAATCTTTTGCTGTTTGTATATTCTCTCTCTCTCTCTCTCTCTCTCTCACACACACACACACACACACACCCCATGACTCAAACACTAGAGTGAGCATCTCTTGATATATATTTTTGTGTGTGTGTTTGTAAAGCATGCACAAGACTTATACCCTGAAGCAGTTTCTACCTTCCTTCATTATTTTGTGTTTATAGAGTTATCGCTGTACTGAATCAGGATTGGAGTCTGTGCTCATGTAGCAAAATATAGTAGCAAAAGTCTGCTGTATATATTACAGGCTTAGCGCCTGAGGGCCCCAGTCCTTTCACTCACCACCCTAGGGCAGGGCCTGACAGGCTCCATAAAGGACTGCCGCTGCCGCCGTCACCACTAGGCAGAGAGGGCTCTGTTGTTGTTGTTGTTGTTTTTAAATTGTTATTTTTTACCAATGTCATTTTAAACTGTGATATTAATGCTGTATTCTTAGTTATAGATTTTGATTTATGTAGAATTTTTTCCCCATTTCATTGTGTATTTTTTTTTACTGTGGTTTATTTATTGTTTGTGACTTTTGTAATTATATAAATCTTGTCGGGTTGTAAGCCGCCTTGAGCATTGTTTTTAACTGTGGAAAGGCGGCATACAAAAAAAATGATGATGATGATTGTATGTACATAGCCTGCCCGGAGCAGTATGGGGGGCTGGTTTCCCAGCACAAGGTACGGTTTTCACATAGAAGATCTTGGATTCAGTCCCTGGAATCAGCTGTTAAAAATATTTTAAGAAACAAGGTTGGGTACCTGGCATCCTAGACAACAGTAGACAGTACTGGAATTAGGTAGAACAGTGATAGGGCCAGGTATATAAGGTAGTTCCTTCATATATTTTGGAAAACATGTCATGCGTCTGCCAGTCATGTTTAGGGAAATTACTGCATCTACGTCTTGTGACCTATATTTGTTTGATATTACTGTGCCATACAGTGAAAATGCAGAGGCTACTTATGAATTTGTAGATCCCAGCTGTTTGGTGTGAGATTAATGAGCTTCCCTTCCCATAGTTTTCAGAACTGAGGCCCATTTTTTTTAATACTTGGCAGATTTTATTTTACTAGAATTGCCTTCTTTTTACTGGAATAAATATTTAACACTCTGTCAGAGATCAAAGGGATTGCCTAGTAATATTTGTATCTGATCACTAGGGAGAAAGTTTCCAAGCTTTCGATCTAATTTGTCTGCTTCACATGCCCAGGGGAACTTATTCCTAGTCTTCCCTTCCAGTTCCCCTCCTTCCTAAGCAAATGCAAAAGGGGAAGAATTCCCTGCAGACAGGAGAGGCCTTGTTAATTTATCCTGAAAGTCTGGACCCTTTGTAACTGGATTTTTAATTTCCTTCTGAGATAAAATTACACGCCCCCCGACTTGTTTGAGAGGATTGGACCTTAAGGATGAGGCCTTCAAGGCCTGACTTGGCACCATTGAGTCCTCCTGATACCAGTTTCTCCACTTGGTTTGGGAAGTGGGAATAACTGGTAGGCATACGAAGCAGAACTGAATTTCAGAAGGACGTTGGTGTCAGCTTGTAATGAGGATGGGATGTGGTGAATTCTGAATTTGCTAGATCCCAACTCTTAAATTTGCTGACACCACTAACAGGAAACAAAAAGGGTTTGTTTGTTTGTTTGTTTTTTGAAGAGTGTGTGTGGCGTGTACATATTTGAAAAAGCAAGCTATAGGAATATCAATATTATTTACAGAACACCTGAGCTTTATTGTTGGCTTTCAAAGTCAACTAATTTTGTTTGTTTGTTTAGCAGGTCCACTGCTGTTGGATGCAAAATTATTTCTGTTCAGTGCCAGGAGTTGTATCATTGATTTAAAAATGGCTTCTATCTGAGTTTAAAACCAGTCTGTGGCCCAAAAGCAAATTATAGGAATCAATATGGCAGCTTTCCTATTCTAGATTACATCTAATAGTGAAGAACTGCATAGATCACCAGAAGCATTTTTGGCCCATTTTGTGTAGTTGGAATCAAACTCTCTAGTTGTGCTGGTTTTAATTAATAAGTCACCGTTGTGACTTGCTTGTACTCAAATGGCTGCTATTGATACTGGCAATTGTAGATTTTTTTTACACCTTGTGATATAAAGTATAGGAGCAAAACTTGGGGGGGACCCAGTAGAGGTCCTATAATTCATTACTAGTGAAAGGGGTAATATATGGTTTCTGAATCCAGGTAATTGCTTCTTTAGAAAAGACCAAATGAAGTTGTCAGTGACCTATGTCGGACAGCTACGGCTAATGTGTAGTCACAGTGTGAAACTTCGTGACCATGTGTAGGTTCCTCCTTCTTAACAGATTGTTGGTAGTGAAGGATATCGAATGAAATAACATATACATATACATAAACATATACATATATATATATATATACACACACACACACACGCACACACGTTATATATATACAAATTATATATACACAATGGTGATGGTTGCTGAAAGAGATTTAGATGATGTTTGAGTTACTGCAAAGTTCCAGATCAGTCTATTACTCCATAAATATTTATTAAAATTCTGCACAATAGCCAGGGCATCAAGTATATGTACTGAATTTCAATTTTCAAGTGATAGTTAACAACTGAGTGGGGAAAGCACATATGCCATGAAAACAATGTAACGCTGGAGCTATCATGTTTAGCAAGTAGTAGTGATAGTGTTAATTGAAACAAAATGCAGAAAGAGATAAGAACACAGTAAACCCTTTAAAAAAACATTTTCTCATTAAGCAGGACAAATTTTAGTTGCAGCTGTCTATCAGTTGTGCTCTGTCAGGAAAACTGCAATGGGATCAAGCATGTTGCAGGAAAGGACGGCTCATCTCACACACTCTCCCTCCATCTCCGAGCTGTGCTTCCATGTTCATGTTCTCCCTTCCCTCCTTCTGTATCTATATATCTATGCATAATATCACCGTATTTTTCGCTCTATAAGACGCATCAGACCATAAGACGCATCTAGTTTTTAGAGGAGGAAAACAAGGGGAAAAAAATTCTGAATCCCAGAAGCCAGAACAGCAAGAGCGATTGCTGAGCAGCGAAAGCAGCGATCCCTCTTGCTGTTCTGGCTTCTGGGATAGCTGCGCAGCCTGCATTCGCTCCATAAGACACACACACATTTCCCCTTACTTTTTAGGAGGGAAAAAGTGAGTCTTATAGAGCAAAAAATACGGTAAATTTTACCCACTTGGATTTGGCTGAGCAAGTGACGCCATCAGAAGAGATGAAGGCTACCCTCCCTCTCTCTCCATTTATTATGCACTTCAAATACAGAAAGAAAACCTTGCTCCTGCTGCTCTAATATCTGTTTGTCTTGGAAGTGGCATGCATACAAGGAATTGCAGGCACTGATGCAGTAGAAGCATGCCTGAAGCGTCCATAAGGCAGAGTAGATTTTCAAAGATGCTCAGTTTTATGCAGCCCTTGCTTAGGTATGTAAATTAGGTGCACTTGGGGCATGTTGTGGCATCCAGTTAGGTACTTGGGTAAGCACACTAGATCTGATAGCTCCTGCTGTCTTCAGTCACAGATGTTGCATGCAGAGAACTTAGAACACCTGACCCTCTTCAATTAGCTGCTGCTTGGGTGCATAGACCTTAAGAAAAAACGTGGCATGCTCATAGGTGCAGAATACTTTTGATGACGCAAGTCAGTCTCCCTAGCAACGAAACAATAGCATAGCACTTTCTCTCGAAAAGGCAAAAAGAACATGTGCCTGAAGAAAACTGTTTTGTAGTGTAATTATCAAGTTTATTTAAACAGAAATACTTGGGTTTTTCACCACCATTTATGTACAGATGTCATGCTTTCATTTTGCACATAAGCAGATTCAAAAGTAAGGCAAAGGAACACAACAGAAATCATAACACCGGTTGAGCTATAATATTGCAAAACTGTATAGTCAGTGAGCTTTGAGGTTTGCTGCATCTTTCTTTTTCTACCGCTATGCAGCCAGTGTTTCAAATTAGAACAAATGTTTTTTCACCATTGCCGTCACTTTTGTTAAACTTGGATCTGAGAGGTCCTTTCCCCATTCTCCAAACTTTTATGAATTTGGTAGCTGCAGTATGCATGCTGAATTGTCCAGCCTCGAGGGATTCTGTCTTCATTTCAGTGGGAGAGGAAAATTCGCAGGAGTGAAAGGTGTGTTTATAAACCTGTCCTCTCCATTAAATGGAATGCAGACACCTGTTTGCAGAAGAAGCCTTCATATGGACTAAGAGCTGGGAGACCCGGACTCCACCATTAAGCTCACTGTGTGAACTTGGGCCATTCACTGCCTCTTAGTTTAACATACCTCACATATATTCCACTGTGAGTACAAATGGAACAAATAAATGCTTTAGAGTTCAGTGGAACCAGGGCGACTGTGGAGAGATCCTAAGTAATCAATATCTCAGCTTCATCTGCCCCCGCAGTAAATGGGGATGACACTGACCTACTTAGAGGGGTTGTGTGCAAGGGAAAATAGAGACTGTTAAAGTCCAGTGAATGTCCTGGGAGTGTTCAGTGCTATAGTTTAGCTATGGAAGCACTGAACCCCATGAAAATCAATCTTTGCTTTCCGAAAGAATTTGTGGAAGTCTTTGTCCATGGAGTTTTCTTGGCAGGGATACTGGTGCTCGCTTCGGCAGCACATATACTAAAATTGGAACGATACAGAGAAGGTTCTTGGCAGGGATACTGGAGTAGCTTGCCGGTTCCTGCTCCAGGTAGATCATGTTTGGTCAAAACTCTCCACTATGACCTGTCCATCTTGGTTGGCCCTGCACGGCATAGCTCCTAGCTTCTCTGAGTTATTCAAGCCCCTTTGCCACGGCAAGGCAGTGATCCATGAAGGGGCCTGAGGGCACAAGGAGAAGGGGACGACAGAGGGTGAGATGGTTGGACAGTGTTCTTGAAGCTACCAGCATGAGTTTGACTAAACTGTGGGAGGCAGTTTTCAGACAGGAGTGCCTGGCGTGCTCTGGTCCATGGGGTCACGAAGAGTCGGACACAACTAAACGACTAAACAACAACAACTTGTCCCAAGTAATATGAGCGATGGACAATGCACTCTCTTGTCAAGGTCAAAGCATTACCTGGTGAAGTTTGGACTGATAGTGGCAATTTCCCCCTGTAAGTGTTAGGGGCCACTCTTCCCTCGGAGACTGATGGAACCTGATGTGTTTCCTGAATGCTGGGGGGGGGGGGGGGCTTTGCAGCCAAGAAAGCTGACAGACATCTTGGTGCTCTGGTCTTGCTGTGGAACAGTGAGATGAAACAGGAAACGTTCTTGCTCCTGAGAGTTCCTTGGAATTCTGGGGAGCTTTGAGCTATGAAGCAAGTCAGACAAAGAGTAGAGAGCATAGGTGCCAAAGCCCACCAGACACTGGTTAATTCACACAATTATGTTTACTATGTGGCAGTGTGGGTTTTGAAGATGGCTCATTTTTACAGCTGGCATTGCATCCTCTAGTAGCCAGAGGCAGAGTTATTTCAGACAGTCTGGAAGTCGCTGACTGTCAGGAACCAGTGGGGCTCTGAGGGGGTGTGGAGGAGGCAAGGGAGCTGGAGGAAGATCTAGAGGGAGAAGCCAGGGACTTGTGGGGTTCTTTCCCCACCCATGAGGCAGGACTCGGGGCTCGGGGAAGAGGAAGAGTCGGGGCTGTCAAAGGCAGGGGAGGAGTTGGAGGAAGGATCAGGAAGGGAAGGAAGAGAACAGTCCCTGAGAGAATCTGGCCATTAGGATCTTCTCCATCCCCTCCTCCCCTGTCTCCAAGGATAATGAGGGGCTTAAAGCGCCAGGCGCAGCAGCAGCAGCTACCATGCCAAAGAAGTCTCAGGCTGATTGCGCAGCGCACATTTCACTCTGGTGAAGGGATTTAAGTTTGGGAGAGGCGTGGTTACGCTGTTGCTTCAGTGGTCCACTTCAGGGCACTAGCCTGGGGAGTAGATGCCTAGCTAGCTAGCTACATAGCAGGAGTGGCTTGTATTTCCTGTGCGCCTTGGGAGATGCTGTTATTGAGTACTTTGCCAATAAACAATTCAACTACCACCCATTTGTTCTCCTTGGGCTGTTCTCTGTGGGTGAGGAACTTCTGGAGCATTTGAGGACCTGATGTGGCTATACCCTTCGAGGATAAAATTGCTCAACTTCAGAGTGACCTTGGCGCTGCAGTTGTTGCAATTCTGTTTACGTATTTATACCCGGTCTTTTCCCCTGACTGGACACAAGGCAACTTACAGGCAAAACCTCAGACTTCTGCCATTGTTTTAAACCACCACTTCCCCCTTCTTATTGTCGCTGCCTTCTCATTCCCATGCCATGGCTACTTCTGCTGTGCAACTTGGCGTCTCTTTTGCTTCCTTCTCCTACCCTGACCTCATGCACATCCAGGATTGTGACACTGCACTACAAATCCTTGAATTGGGGTTGCACGTTGACAGCATTACGTTTTTATGTATATAGGAAGAAGAAGAAGCTAATAAGAATACTTGTGAGGTAGGATGATTCATTTCCCACAGCAGCCTCCTCATGGCCGTCTTGTAAAACGAGTTGCTGGTCTGGTGTATACAGCAGAGAATTGCTCTCCATTTTCCCCTGTGTTGTTTATTCTGCCTCTCTGTGTGCCCGCCCCCCCTGCCCTGACTTCCCTAACAAGATCACAATAGTTTCAACACCCTGGATATCTTTAAAAGCAGCAACTGTACCTGAGCTTTCTTGTCAAAACTGTGTTAGTATTGGAGATTTACAATCCCCTCACCCTCATATTGGAAATGGCCTTAATTAAAATGCCAAGAGGGTGGTTTGGTTTTCATGGCTATTCCCTTGCTGTCTTTGCTGTCTCTGCCTTTTGCTGCAAATAGCAGTCATGGTTTTGTCCCTGGGGACCAAAATGTTTCCCCTGTTTGCCACAGTGAGTTGCGCTTTAAAGCAAACTGTCACTGAAGGTATCAGCTTGAATCTCTTAACCAGAGAAGATGGGTGCTGTTTAGTGGAAAACAACATTTGTCATATTTTGGTTTCTTGCAAAGTTCAAAATAGATATGAAGATGGTTAGGAAGTATTAGCTGTTGGGTTAGACTTGCTCATTTGGAAGCTGTTTTCTATGGTGTTATCAACTCTTAATGCCTAAAATCGCGTGGCAGCTAAAGTTATTGTTGTTGGCTTAATTGAATAATCTGCTTACATATAACACTGATGGCCAAACTGGGTTATATACTGTTGGTAAATTGAGAGTTTGAAAGGGCTGTATTTGATTGAAAGAATTTGGTATTTGTTATACATTATTTTTTAATGTGCTTCACAGTCTTGGTGTTGCCCTCCCAGCAGTTCTCTTGATTATAAACAACAGAGTCTTGCGGTATCTTTAATATATTCACTACTCTTTGTGTCATAAGCTTTCTTGGGCAAGAGCCCACGTTGTCAGATGTATGGTTTATGTACCCATAGTACAGAGAGAAGGGGTGATCATGGGTACTTCTTACAGAGCGAGGCCAAACAGTGAAGGATTACTTTGCAGAGGGCAAATGCATTTGAGAATGAGATCAAGTCAAATGAATGAAAGAAAGACCCAATTGGAATAAGCATCAGCCACTCCCAACTGTTCATGAATTGGCAAAGCAAAATAAGTAACACACAAACAAAAACCTACAAAGGAACAATAATTCACTTGGAGTATTGCAGGGTGGGAGTCAGGCTGACGTTTGAGAAAGTACTTTATACTGGTCCCGTAATATTTCACTCCTATGCTGCAGGCTGGGGATTTTAGTGATGCTGAGATGGTATTCACAGCAACCTTGTAGTGTTGTCCATTGCTGTTATTCTTCCTACCCCACCCCCAATCACTGTATTAGCTTTTAAAGCCATAAATGCACTTGGTTCAAGGTACCCAAGGGAGAACCTTCTCCATATACCCTGATCCGAAACATATACTAATACAATTTGGGTGATGGCCTGCTTTGAGTCCTGTCCTTTATTTAAATTAGATTTACAGGAACAAGGGACAGGGCATTCTCAACAGTGGCAAAATGCAAGTTGCCCATTGGGCTAGTGCACTGAAGAAGAATGGCGTGTCCAACAACTTTGGCTCCCATAAAAAAAAGCTCACCATATAACATATTTGCCCTGCACCCCCGAAAGCTCAACAACTTTGACCTTAACCCCAAGAAAGTCTCTTGGGAGTTGGCCACCCCTGAAAAATCCCAAACCCCTTTAATTCCAGCTTGCGTTTTGCAGCTGCATTGTGTTACTTTAAATCTTTTTAAGGCTTCTAGATTGTGGGTTTCATTTATTCAATTATGTATTAATGGTTGTTGTTTCTTTTGAATGGTGATTGCTAGTCACCATGAGGCACTATTACGCCACATGGCATGATACATATTTCAAAATAAATATGTAACATTTTGATAATGGAAGGGGCTGTTTGTGCACCAGCCAATCCATTCAGTAGGGAATGGACTGAGTGCAATCCTGAGGTGAATATCCTATACAAGGGAGAGTGAAATGGCATTTCAGATACTACAGGAAAGAGCAGCTGGAGAACAAAAAAGAACCATATTTGGCGTTTTGTAACATTTCTCCCTTGATAACATTTAATAGTAGTGTACATCTGTAATTAGAAACGGAAATTTCAAAGACACAGTTGAAATCAGTGACCTTACTCATACTCTTCATTAAGTGCAGAGTGGGATTACTATAAAGGCAGAACGAGTATAAACACTTTAGAAATAGTTTGCTGTAAAAAGAGGGGGGAAATAGATTGTTTGCTGTTTAGGTTGCCACCCCGTGACTAGTTATCTGCTGTACCAAGTAACTGAAAATTCAAAATGTATGATACGTGTTTCATCACAAGTTTTGTAAAGGAGATCTGGCCATGGACACCTGCTGGTCTTTTTGGAGTGGTGGTACAGAAAATACTGTCAATAAAGCATAAGTAAAATCTGAGAACAGGCCTGCCATTTCTGGTGCTTTGAGCAGGGGTGAAGCCTGGCTAGGCCTAGCCTCTGAGAAACTTGTATTCCAGGTCTATCCCTCCTTTAGTTCTCGAGAGGTAGACCTGGCAACTAGACCTTGGGTTTGAGTCTACTAAACAGCAGGAGCCGGTACAATGGGACTTCCCCCCTTCTCCTCCTGTGCTTCCCAAGTCATCACTGAAACCCTCAATTCTCCCCCTTCATCCCTTCAGTAGTTGCAATGCAGCTACAATCCACTTCACAGCTCCCTCCCTCATTTCCCTAAAAAATGCAACTGCAGCACATCAGGAAAGGACCACTGGACTATAGGGGTGTTACACTACTCAGTCTCTCTCCGCCCCCCATAAAATGGGCTGAGCTACTTTGGTCATGTGGATGGGAGGGGAGCTGGAGCCCAGAAACATCTGGAAAACCACAGCTTCCCCATCCCTGAGACTGAGAACTTGAATCTCAAGAGTTACTACTGGCTGCCTGAAGCCAATAGCCACATTTTGAGGGAGTGAGGCTTTATTTTATATATATATATATATTTTCATTGTGCCGATGCTTTTTAACTCACCGCAGTCTTGACATCATTTATGAAGTGATGCACATCATGGAACTTTTTCTTTCAGTGCAAACACATTTTTAATTGTGAGCAATACTTCACGTTGCAGTACTTTACATTAAGAAATGCGTATGTCAAACTTGCAGATCAATTTTTGCAACTATCCCCCTCCTCCCAAGTCATTGGAAATGAGGTCTCAGTGGATGGTCAGAACGTTATAATACTCTTTCAGCTGTCCGTGG